AAATTAAGCAAACAAAAGCAAAAAAAAAAAAAACGTTATCTTTTAGAAGTAATGACAGAATGAATAATTGATAGAGGGAAACTTGTCTTTACCCTCTTCCCCTGCCCTCGTTTCAATGTTATCAGAGACGACAATATTTTTACTCTTATCGAAAATAATGATTCTTATTTTTTTTTCTGCATTTTTATAGTTATTATATATTTATTTAGTACTTTTTTTTTATTCATTCTTTCTTCTCTTCTTTTTTTTTGGTTTTTATATTCTGATTGAACTATTTTTTAGAAAACTTCCAAAGTTATTGGTATTTCGTCTTCAACGCGGTATTTCTATCATCGTTTGTTGTTGCCGTCTGTACATTCGTTGTTCAAGGACCTTTTTTTAGGGGGCTCTCTCCATTTCTACACGGAACAGTCACAGCAAAAACAGCAAACAACAGATAAATTTATCGGAGTGTTTCAAACAAATTTTAGAGGCATTTAAAGCGTTTCTTCGGTCAGAAAGAGGCAACCGGTGAAGGATACAGGGAATGAAGGAATGAAGAAAAAATATGTCACCATTATTGCTTTCTGGACGTCACAGATGAACGCTGATGCAACACTGACGAAGATATTTTTGTCATTAGTATACTCTCTGTTTTGAACTTATAACTTTATAAATTGTGTACAGCAGACTGAAAAGTGGAATAAAAAAAAAAAACACTATTGACTAGACAAATTTTTTTCTTCCTCAACCACGAAATGTTATTCAAAGCTTTGGTTGGTTATTATGCTGCAATAACAACAAGAAGATCAAAACTTATGCCTTAACTGACCGCCATGACACTTCACCAAAATACGAACAACACTAATAGCTATAAACTTATGTCAGCTTCAGCAGCAGTTATAGTTTGCTCTCTGATTTTTTACAGTTTTTGAATTGCGCGTGCAGCATAGCGGTCAGATAAGGCATAATTTTTGATCTTCTTGTTGTTATTGCAGCGTAATAACCAACCAAAACGTTGAATAACATTTCGTGGTTTAGGGAGAAAAAAATTTGCCTAGTCGACAGTGTAAGTAATGTGCGATACAGTGACAATAAACAGCAAAAGCAACTGAACTTTTTTTTTCTAATAATTCATTGCAGTAAATTCTTTGTTAATCATTATACGGCAACGAATTGATCTGAAAGCAGCCTAAAATTATAGCATAAATGGATAGTGGCTAGTAGTTACTTTTCTTTATTATTGCTGCCTAGTTTATGATATAGGCTATAATATGGGACTGGCTTAGGTACTATACTTTTCGCGGCTAACAACAACGGTAGTAATGATAATGTTTTTGATAGAGTGGTTTACGGCTTGACTTCTGCAAAACTTCAACTTTTATATTTTATTCTCTTTTTTTTTTCTCCTTCTTATTCGCCTAAACCTAAAAAACTTTCGTCTTCTGTTTCTTTTTTTTTTACTGTTTTAACTACCTCGGTGTGCTTTTTCTTCCTTAGTGATTCATTCATTCTCCCTTTTTTTTTCGTTCTTTTTAATGCTGTTTAGTGAATTGCATTTTTGAGAATTACAAAACAACAAATTATTACTATAATAGCGGCAATTTTTTTTT